GAAAGAAAGAAAGAAAGAAAGAAAGAAAGAAAGAAAGAAAGAAAGAAGAAAGAAGGAAAGAAAAAAGAAAGGAAGGAAGGAAGGAAGGAAGGAAGAAAGAAAGAAAGAAAGAAAGAAAGAAAGAAAGAAACGTTGGAAGGAACTGAACTGGAATGAGCTGATCAAATTTGGCAACATTCACAGAAAAAAAGGATCCAGGTTCAGGATGTGAGAAGGATGCTCTTCTCCAGGTGAGCTGGGGACTTTGCACGCCACTCGAGCTTTCTCCCACTCCAATGCTTTAAATAAGCTAAACATAACCGAAAAGTTAGACGTTTTCTATATCAAACTCACTAAGGTGATCCTACGCAATTTGTCCTGTTGGTGCTCGAGCATCCTTCTGTGTATCCAGACCACAGTGAGGATGCTGCTGTGTCCTTGCCTTTACGCTCGTTGCCACCAAAGCACAGGTCCCTTCTCAGGGCAGAGCATCAGAGTGCGGTGAACACATGACAGGGGAGCAGAACAATCTCCTTCTCCTGTTTATCATTCTGTGCCTACAAATGTTTGATCATTTGGTCCTCTCCCCAAACACATGTGGATTCTCTTGTTTAGTTTACTTAGTTTAGTTTCTTTAATTCTCTTCTTCTTGAGACAAAAGTTTCATGTAACTCAGGCTAGCCTCAAATTAGCTGGGCAACTGAAGATGACCTTGAATTAGTTTTTGTTGTTTGTTTTTATTTATTTATTTGGCACAGGATCTCACTGTGTTGTCCTGGCTGGCCTGAAACATCTTATGGAGACCAGGCTGACCTCCAACTCACAGAGATCTGCCTACTTCAGCCTCCCATGAACTGGAATGAAAGATTTGTACGGCAGTGGGGATGCAGCCCGCAGCTTCATGCACAGTAGGCAAGCGCTCTACCAATCAAGCTACCTCCTTAGCCCCATTCTTTTTTTCTTTTTTGAGTTTTGAAACAGGATCTCACCGTGTAGCCCACACTGTCTGAAAGTTACTATGTATAGTTCAGGCTCCCCTGGAATCTCCCATGGTCCTCTGACTTTAACCTCCCAGGTGTTGGAATTACAGCTATGAATCACCAGAGCCGGCTCTCTCAAGCTCCCAGTTTAGAGAAAGCAACATTTTCACCCACCAAGCGCTTTTACACCTAGTTCTTAAAAGTGCAGTCTGGTCCAGAGCAACAGGCACTCAGGATTCAGTGAAGAATGGCAGAGTCCAATCTGTGACCTTTCTTCTCAGGGCCATATCTTCTGCCAGAATTGACGCTGTTAACACCCACGTCCCTAAAGGTCCCCATGAGGAGACTGGTGGATCTCAGTTCATATCTGCTGCTTGTACTTACCAATCAATGCAGAGTGAGTTCCAGGAGAGCCAAAGCGACACAGAGAAACCCTGTCTCAGATAATAATGATAATAATAATAATAATAATTTACAGATGGTATGTCTATCTAGAAAACCCAGAGTAGGATGACAAACCAAGAGTTCATATTGCAGCCAGCCACACCTATGACTCTGGAAGGTAGTATCCCTTTAGCCAACAATAAGGAGAAAGAGTTCCACTCACAGTAGTGATAATAACTATAAATTACCCAGACATAGTCTCACTAAAAACATGCGCAGAATCTATATGAAGAAAATGATGCATCTTTATAGTTGTTCTTAAAAATAAC